TTCCTGAAGAAGAAACCTCTCTCGTGTTGTCTTTTAGCATTTATGTAGTCACAATCCTTCCATTTGCCTATGGTCTGTAAGAGGCAGCATGCATACAGTGCTTTGCCAAAATCCAGGGTGGATGGGTTATCTCAGAAGACTGCCAGACACGCCAAGGGGACCTTAAGTCCACACTCCCCTAATTCAAAATCCTTGGCTATCAGCTCCCAACTGAAGGAATCCCTATCTGCAGTATTGGGGGATAATAAGGATCTAAATTATCCTAAATCATTATCAGAACACAAACACATCAACCTTAACATTAATTTTAAATGTGTTAGGTAACAAAAACTTATTCCCTGCTGAAACCCAAGTTCAGGGGGCTTTTCCACAAGAGTCTGTTGCCTAAAGCACATGGATTTGTTACAGCACCGACAACATCACAAGTAATGTTAAGAGTATTGTTATTTTAACCAACAGTTGAAATATGATGCTAGAATAGCAAGTAAGGACTTCTCTTTCTAATTTTAAAAACCATTTAAATTCTTTTACATATATTCATATGGAATTAGTAATTTAATGAAAATATCACACAGTACTGAGCTGACAGGTTTTATGTTTTCAGGTACCTTGTTTCTATTATAGTACCTATTATGCCATCTCATAGAAGTGTTAGGTGTGAGAGGAATTTTTGTTTGGATGCAATAACAGCCAAGCACCAACACTGCTTCTGTTTAAGTGGACACCTTTAACAGAATTAGCCAGTAACTCCTGAAGCAATAATTAGTTATCAGAACTACCTGAGCAAGAAAGGCGAAGGGAATGTTAAAACATCTGAAGTCATCTTCAGTACTAGTTCCTATTCATAGTTAGTTAATGAATCTTCCTATAGCATTTTGGGCCCCTGAGATATGAATGCCAATGGGAAGATGTTTCTTTGCATGCGGGGTTCCTAGATCTATTTGGCTTCCTGACTGAAGAAGAATTAGGATAAGGTGCTTCCTTGTTTGTCATAAATAATACATCACTAATAGGTTGTCTGTTGATAAGACTATACAACTTCTTGATAGCTGTGCTGATGGACTAAGTGAAGGTTCTGTTGATTGGTTGAATTCTAAGGTTTGATGAGCATCTTTTTGGAAACTCTACAGGCCTCTATGCTGTTGTTTCATCCCTTAGCTTCATTTCCCATCACATGGTCTCTAACACATCGAAAAAACTGGCTATAGTAGTTGGACTACTAAGATTAATACTGCTGTTTCTTTACCATCTTTAAAGCCCATTCTCTGAGAAAAGCTTCAGTAAATGGTCTTTCCACCGGGATTCCAAGATAGGTTGGGGCAGCAGGAGAAAAAATTATTTCCAAACCTCTCATGGTTTGACTCAGAGCAGCCATGTCTGCCCTTAATTGTGGATTTAGGCCTATGATACGTCTGGAAGCTCCTGTATGGCTTTCCCCCATGCAGCAGAACCATAGCAATTCTGCTGTGTTTTGGGCTTTCTATTCCAATGGAGGGAAAAGAAGGGAAGAATTTGCCCCTGAATCTTTAACATCTCTCTTTAAAAACTCTGGGAAGTGTATTGAGGCTACCCTGACTTACCAGGTGCACTGTCTGAATACCTTATTGAAGAGCGAACATACTGAAAGTGCTGCTTATATTTTACTGCTTGAGTTAGTCTCCGGAAGTCTAATGCAGAATCGAGCCTTTGTTCTTTGGAGAGTAAAGAGTAATTTGGAAAAAAAATAATCTGTGGTATCAGTGGAACAAATCTTTCACTACATCATATAGGTAATCACATCTCCCAGTTCTTGAGAGAGTAGAGATTCCTCAATAAAATCTGTAGGGATTGAGGAGTCTGACAATAATAAAGCTACAGAGTTAAGAAGAGTATGAGTGATCATTAAAAATACAGTTTCTAACGCTCAAGTGGTTAATGTGATAGCTGCTTATGCAGGAAGAGAAACCTCAGTTTCATTCTGACAGGAAGAGGTAAGCTGAGGTTCTAAAAACCCCAGTCTTGTGATATGCTAGTAACTGCCTTCCTTTCATGAATTTCTGAAATTGAAATTATTTGAGGTCTTATTTGAAATTGCTTCTGTAGTAAAAAAACCTAATTGGGCACCTGGGGGTGGCTGTTTTTGTTTGAAATAAGAAAAGATTTAATCTTACTAGAGTATCTGATATTTATTTACGGAGGGTTGTTGGTCCCATCAGGGAAACTCTATTATGCCTCTAAAGAATGCAACCAGAAAGGACAACAGGTTAAACAGATCTGATTTGGAGATGAGGTTACTTTAAGAAAAAAAAGCCTTCCCCAAGTAGCTCACACATGGTAGATCCTTCTTAAAAAGTTATATGAGCAGCTGAACAAAGATAAAAGATCACAGACTGTAGTGAAATAACTATTTTTCTCCTCCTCTTCATAAAGAGAGTTTCCAGAAGGCTTCGGACTAAAGAAAGGCACCAAGAACCTATGTAGCTGAAGCACAGTGAATATCCATTTGGTAGTGGCATGATAATTGAAAAGATAAATTATTTTTAAGCCTCTCATATAAAGAGAAAAAAGTCAAGAAAAAAAACAAAACCCTAAATAAAACTCAGAATAAAAGGCACTTTAATGTGTAGGGAAAAACAGAAGTCACAGAGCAATTTGGGGAAATTTTGAATAGTCAAAACTCTAAGCCATCTTTCAGAGGCTCTCAGAAAATGGATTGTGCCTACGCAGAGAGAGAGCACACGGAACAGAAAAGGAAAGACCTAAGGGGCTAGATCCTAAATGGGATGTAGATTCAGCGTTGCAATACCTAACTATTAGGTGTCCCACGGTCTAGTGGAATCCACAGCACTGAGTTAGGTGCCCAGGATCCCTATACAATGCATGGGGAGAATCAGGTGCCTACAAGTGGGATTAACAAAAGCCAGCATGTTGAACAGGGAGCTAATTAAGGTACCCACCAGGAGAGGAGTGTTAGGCACCTAACTCCAGGCCAGAGGCAGGTGCCTCTCTCCTCTCAGCATTCACAGCCACAAACCCTCTCATGGAGTTAGGCACTGAAACCCTTTCTTGTAAAAAAGGGGGTGGGGGGTAACGCCCTTATAACTTTAGCTCAGTGGAACAGGGACTTGAATCTCCCACATCTCATGTTAGTGCCCTAACCGCTGGGCTATAGAACCATTCTCACTCTCTCTCTCTCTCTGGCCTGCTGAATATTTATATGTAAAAAATGGAAGAGCTTCACCAGGAGAGATCGAGACCCACCTCAGAGCCCAGTGGGCAGAGGATTCACCTGAGAAGTGGAAGCCCTGGGTTCAAATCCCTGTCCCCATCAAGCAGAGGGGGCGGATTTGAATCTGGGCCTTCCACACCCTGGGTGAGTGCTGTATTAGGTTAAAGGTTATATAAGTGAGGTTTGCACCACCACAACCATGTCCTCCTCCATTTTTTGTGAGGCTCAATCCAGTAGGCATGCTTGAAGTACACCTACCAGATCGGGCCCCACAGGTGAGAGAGGCAGGGAATGATTAGTTTGAGGACCCACTGGGCCTTAGGCATGAGATGGGTGTATACCCAGCGACAGAAATGTAGGCACCTAGGGGGCTTTACCAGTAGCAATTTAGGCACCTGCAGGATTAGGCAGCAGCTGAACAAGGATTCTGAGGATCTAAATTTTGAATTTAGGCATATAAATGGCAGTTGTCCACTTTGTGGATAACCCCTTTATGGATTTAGCCCAAGGTCACAGAGGAAATCTGTGTCAGAACAGGAAATTACATACAGGTCTCTCAAGTCCCAGGCTAGCACCTTAACCACTAGAACAGCCATCCTTCCTTCCTTTGTGCTGTGAAGAGAAGTGGTCAAGGCCTACAAAGGAGTAAAGTAGCAGCTCTAGAATGAACCAATAAATTAAGATTCCCTTTTGAGGGAATGTATTTTTAAACCTGCCAAAACCAAACAAAGAAACCAAAACACAAAATGCTTCAACTGATCTGACAGAGTAGTAAATTATACTGTGCTGCAAAAGGGGAGGCCCAGAATAGATTTAGATTTCCACACTCTGAATGGTAATTGCATAACAAAAGACATAGGTGAGTTGCTATTAATGGAGAGAGGTCACTGGTATCATACAACTTTTACAGCAGCAGAACATGCATAATCTTATCATGAGATACTGTGCTCTCCCATACTGTACAGAGTAAAATAAAAGGGAAAGTGGAAATCATCTCCTAACAAACCACAGGAGTCATATCTTATACAAGTTTTAAATATTTAACTTTATAGCCAAGAATTGTGTAAAACACAAATGCCCTTAAAATACAGATTTTCTACTATGAAATTAAACCATTTATAAACTTTTTTATTGATGTAGTGGATTTGATACATACAAATAAAGGCCTAAAATGTTAAAACCTACTGATTTGCTAATTATAATAAATCTAGTTTTGGAGCTTGTACAATAGCTAATTCTGAAATTTAAAAAATTCAGTAATGGTATATACTAAAAAGCTAGTTCCTATCTTACCTTTGGATTCATTATTCCTTCTTGTTTAAAGCAGCTATAAAAAATATCCATGGAAAAAACTTCACTCCACAGATATCCATAGTATTGGCCATCATAGCCACCTGCCAAATGTCCAAAAGTAGCCGGCATGTTTGTTCCTTAAAAAGCAGATTAAAAAATGGTTACTAACTTTTCCATAACTGTTGTTCTTTGAGATGTTGCTCATGTCGATTCCATGATAGGTGTGCGCATGCTACAAGCACTGTTGCTGGAGATTTTTCCCTTAGTGGTATCCATCAGGCTGGCTCTAGTGCCCTCTGGAGCTGCATGCTCATGCGGCAGTATAAGGGGCGCAGCCCAGCCAGCCACGCACCCTCTCGGTTCCTTCTTACCGTTAACTCCGACCGAGGGGTAGGAGGGTAGGTTGTGGAATGGACATGAGCAACACATCTCAAAGAACAACAGTTATGGAAAAGTTAGTAACTGTTTTTTCTGCTTGCTCATGTCCATTCCATGTTAGGTGACTAACAAGCAGACCATCAGGAACACCGCTCTCCCGAAACTGGCATTGTCCCTGGCCTGTTGTTGTGATGGTGTAGCAAGATACAAAAAGGTATGTACTGATGATCAGGTTGCACCCCTATACAGATGTCCTGGATTGGGACCTGTGGAAGGAACACTGCCCCAATGAAGCCTGGGCTCTTGTGGAGTGAGCAGTTAAGATGGCCAAAGGTGGGACATTTGCCTGCTCATAGCAAGCCTGAATACAGGGGGTTATCCAGGATGAGATCCTCTGGGCTGACACAGGTAGTCCTCTCATCCTTTCCGCTATTGCTACAAAGAATTGTGTGGATTTCCGGAAGGGTTTAGTCCTCTCCATTTAAAAGGCCAGGGCACGCCTAACGTCCAATGAGTGAAGCCACCATTCCTCAGAGCTCTTGTGAGGTTTTGGGAAGAAAACTGGCAGGAAAATGGCCTGGTTGTTATGGAATTGTGACACCACCTGTGGCAGGAAGGCCGGGTGGGGGAGCAGTTGGAAAACACTATGTATGGCGGTTCTGATGTAAGGGCCTTGATTTCAGAGACCCTTCTGGCTGAGGTGATCGCCACCAAGAAGGCTATCCTACAAGAGAGAAAACAGCAGGGAGTATAATGCTAGCGGCTCAAAGGGGGGACCCATAAGTCTCCACAGAACCAGGTTTAAGCCCATGGGGGGACTGGCTCGCAGACCTGAGGATAGAGCCTCTCCAGCCCCTTGAGAAACCATACCATCATCTTGTGGGAGAACACTGACCATTCATCGATGGGTGGAAGGCTAAGAGATGGCTGCTAAGTGCACCTTGACAGACGTGAGGTCCAGGCCCTGCTGCTTTAAGTGGAGCAAGTAGTCCAAGATAGACTGAAGGGAAGATTGAGACGGAGAGAGAGCTTGTTGAGGCACCCATGTTGAGAAGCGTTTCCATTTGGCCAGGTAGCCCTGGTTGATGCCTTTCTACTATCTAGCAAGACTTGCCAGACCTGTTCCAAGCAAGCCTGTTCCTCTGGATCCAGCCATGCAGCATCCATGCAGTTAGGTGCAGGGAGGTGAAGTTTGGGTGAAGCAACCAGCCATGGTCTTGTGAGATTAGGTCTGGACGGAGTCGGAGTGAGAGTGGAACAGATACTGACAGATACAGGAGCGTGCCAAACCAGTGTTAGCCAGACCACGCCGGGGCTATCAGAATAACTCTCACCTTGTCTCGTTTGACTTTTAGGAGGACATTATGAACCAGAAGGATCGGGGGAAAGGCATAGAATAGGATATCTGTCCATGGCACCAGGAAAGCATTGGAGATGGAGCCCAGGCTGTGCCTATGCAGTGAGCAAAACTGACGAAATTTCCTGTTCTGTCTCGTAGCAAACAAGTCCACCTTGGGAGGCCCCCACCTTTGGAAGATGAACCCGGTGATTTTCAAGTGAAGAAACCACTCATGGTAAGTGGAAAAGGATCTGCTGAGGTGATCCGCCAGTACATTCTGGGGTCACAGTAGAGGTGACGCCTCAAGATGAATGGTGTGCTTTGCAGAGAAGTCTCATAGATATATGGCCTCAAAACACAGGGCCAAAGATCGGGTCCCTCCCGACTTGCTGATATAGAACATGGTTGCAGTAGTGTATGTCAGGACTTGCACCACCTCACCTAAGATCTGGGGAAGGAACACTTGGCAAGCTAAGTGTACTACCTTGAGCTCCCTGATGTTTATGTGCAGGGAGAGTTTTTCAGGACTCAGGGCCTCTGGTCGCAAGAAGTTGTTGTGGTAGGCTCCCCACCTTAGGTCTGAGGCATCTGAGATTAAAGCTACTGACAGCTGAGGGGTAGCAAAGAGAACCCTCATCATTACCAATCTTGGGTCTTTCCACCATTTATGGGAGGCGAGGACTAGGGGAGGAACTGTAGTGTCTGCTGGGGGAATATACTGATGCTAGCCACATCTGGAGGGACCTAAGGCGCAGTCTTGTGTGTTGAACCATGTAAGTACATGCCCTCACGTGCCCCAGTAGCTTGAGGCAAACCTGAAGCAGTGACTGGTAATATTGGATATCAGGTCCAACATGGTCTGGAATCAGGCCTCTGGTAGGAAGGCCCTGGCTTGGGTCAAGTTGAGCATCACTCCAATAAATTCTATACTCTGAGCCAGGACAAGAGTTGACTTCTGTTCGTTTATCAGCAAGCCCAGTGTTCAGGAGGTGGCTTGGACCGCGCTGATGCTGATCTGAACTTGAGTCTGTGACCAACCTTTGATCAGCCAGTTGTTGGAAATATGAGTAGACCTAGATGCCTCGCCATCTGAAGAAGGCTTATATTACCATCATACACTTTGTGAAAACCAGGGGCTGCCGATAGGCCAAAGGGAAGAGTGGTGAATTGGTAGTGGCACTGACCCACAACAAACCTGAGAAATCTTCTGTGGCCACGGAAGATAGAAATGTGAAAGTATGCGTCCTTTAAGTCGAGGGTAGCGTACCAGTCTCGGCTAAGGAGATCACGCAGAACATCAGTTTCTTGAGATATCTGAGTAGGCGAGACAGGTCCAGAACAGTCTGGAAGCCGCCTTTGGAATTAGGAGATATCATGAGTAAAACCCCTTTCCTCCCTAGTCTTGCGGAACCTCCTCCACAGCCCCCATTTGTAGGAGAGATTGCACTTCCTGGACAAGCAGTTGCTTGTGAGAAGGGTCCCTGAAGAGAGGTGGGAGGGAGGGGCGGATAAAATTGAAGGGTATAACTGACTGTCACTGTACTTAGAACTGAACAGTCCGATGTTATCTATGACCATGCTGGGCTGAAATGGGACAGACGGTCCAAAAATAAAAAGGGGAGATGGATCTGAAGCAGTGACTGGTAATAATGCCCTCAGGTGCACCTTCAAAAGGCCCTGGAGTATCTCTGAGACCCCAGCTGGGAGGCTGAGGTGGATGGAAGTGGTTGGCACCACTTAACCTCTCCCTTTTCTTTTGTAGGGCTCTTGTCTTGGAGGCACCAAGAAATGAGGAGGCTGCTGGGGCCTGAAGTGCTTCCTGGAAGTCAATGGAGCATAAAGGCCTAAAGATTGTAGGGTGGCCCTTGAGTCCTTTCGGCTGTGAAGTCTTGAAGGGGAAGTCCTGGACGGACTGTTGGACCTTGTGAGGAAGCCCCAAGAATTGGAGCCAAGAACACCACCTCATGGTGACAACGGAGGCCATTGTCCTGGCGGCCGAGTCGGCTGCATCCAGAGCCACCTGGAGAGAGGTCCTGGCCACATCTTACCCTCTTCCAAGAGGGCAGTGAACTCCTGCCTTGAATTTTGGGTCAGAGAGAGAGTTTTTAAATTTAGCCAGGGAGTACCATGGATTATAAATCGTATCTCTCCAGCAAAACTCGCTGGTTAGAGATACATAGTTGAAGGCTACCCTTTGAATAAACCTTTCTGAAAAAGTCCAGTTTTTTGGCGTCCTTTTGTTTACAGGTAGTGCTCGACTGGCCCTGCCTGTCCCTCTTGTTTGCTTCAGACATAACCAGGCACCCTAGAGGAGGGTGCAAGTACAAGTATTTGAATCCACTCACTGGCACATAATACTTCTTCTCTTTCCTCTTTGAGATGGGGGGCAAAGGAGGAGGAGTTTGCCACAGGACCTTGACTGGTCCTATCATAGGCTCATTGATGGGTAAGGCCACCTTGGAGGGAGCTGCTTCAGCCAGGATATCAATAAGGCTGTGTGATGTCTCTTTAAAGTCCTCAATTTCCAGACCCAGGTTTGCTGCTGCCCGCTTCAGGAGGTTCTGATGGGCCCTGAAATCATCATGCGGAAGCAGGCTACTGGGTCCTGCAACAGCCTCGTCAGGAGTCATCTCCTGAACATGGTTACAAGGGTCAGTTGGGGGCCAGTGCCAGCAGCCCACCTCTCGGAAACCACCGAGTAGAAACTATGGGAGCAAGGACCCGGTGCCGGGAGGGAATCTCCCAGGGGTTCCAGTAAGGCCACTACATTGGTCAGTGACCTACTGGCCAGGTGCCAGCAGGGGGACTGGTACCGAAGTCCAGTGGCACATAGGCTGAGTACCAGTGTTGAACCTTAGGTTGCACATACGGTTTCCCTTGGAACTAAGAAGAGGAATTCTGTCTTGGAGCAGTACCTGATTCTGCCACCATGTGGTGCCAGGGGTCCAGGGACCAGCAACGGACCATAGATGGTCAGGACACTGGGATCAGGGTTGGCTTGCCTCTAGAGGGTGCCAAGAAGGAGCTCCTTGTTCCTTCCTGCTTCTGGATATCAGAGCTGGAAGGTGTCCCAATGGAGTTGAGGGGACCGGGAGAGAAAGTAGGTCCCTCGCCACTTGGAAAGCTTCTGGGATCAACATAACAGTCAGACTGCTGGTGCCACAGTGGCTTCCGGGTGTCGTCGGAGGGTCCCGCACCAGAGTCAACATTCTAGGCAGAATCAACGGTGACATTGTGTGACAGGAGTGGAAGAATGGCCTGGCATGGATCTCACTGTGCTGCCTTCCCCACGCTTGTCTTTCTTGTGCACTGGCAATCGCTCTCTATTGGTTGCTGCTTTTTGTGCTTCTTCCTTGGCACCAGAGATAGTGAACAGTGCCAGGAAGAGCTTGGTGCCCGAGGAGCACTTCGCACTGATGCCTAAGTGCTCGGCACTGAATCAGAGCAGTGCGGCTCTGAGGGTGGCTTCCATGAGGCTAGCTTTCAGCCTAATGTCTCTGTCCTTTTTAGTGCGGGGTCTGAAGTCCCAAAAGATCTGATACTCATCCACGTGAGTTTCCCCCAAGCACTTCAAGCAGCTGGAGGGCAAGTCACTCAAGGGCATAGGTTTGCCACAGGAGGCACAAAGTTTGAAGACTGGGGCGAAGGAGTCCCTCAACAACAGGAACTATTTACACTATGTACACTAATACTAATTACAAAAACTATATACACTAAACGATGACAACTAAGTTAGAAGAGTTAGAGTTCAAAAACCACTGGGAAGAAACCTTGCCAAAGCAAGAAGGGTCATTCAAGTAACTGTCATGGGCAGTAAGAAGGAACTGAGAGGGCGTGAGCCTGGCGGCGCCCCTTATACCGGCACATGAGCGCGCAGCTCCAGAGGGCACAAGAGCTGTCCCGACAGATACCACTAAGGGAAAAATTTCTGGCATCAGTGCACATGGCGTGCACACACCTAACATGGAATGGATATGAACAAGCTCTTGAAGAAGACAGAAACATTAACAAATTATTAATGTTGAAATCAAATGTAATCATCCCTTTAACGCAGGGGTGGCCAACCTGTGGCTCCGGAGCCACATGCAGCCCTTCAAAAGTTAATATGCGGCTCCTTGTATAGGCACCAGCTCCGGGGCTGGAGCTACAGGTGCCAACTTTCCAATGTGCCAGGGGGTGCTCACTGCTCAACCCCTAGCTCTGCCACAGGCCCTGCTCCACCCCTTCCCACACCCTCCCCTGAGACTGCCATGCCCTCACTCCTTCCCCTCCCCCTCCCCCTCCCGAGCCTCCTGCATGCCACAAAACAGCTGATCAGGAGGTGCGGGGAGGGGGGGGAGGCACTGGGAGCGGGGGGGGGGAAGCTGATGTGGGGCAGCTGACGTATTACTGTGGCTCTTTGGCAATGTACACTGGTAAATTCTGGCTCCTTCTCAGACTCAGGTTGGCCACACCTGCTTTAACGTATAATGGTGCTTCAGATTTAGAAGGGCATTAATGTATCAATCTGGAATATATCCTAACTGCAAATGGATATTTTTGATGGAATAACATTAATGACCTTTCTTGTCTTATTTCAAAGTAATTACTTCAGTTTCATAAACTGGATTTCTTTTCTAAACCACATTCACCTGATTTGCTATAAGACCTATTGTGAAGGTACTGTATGCTCATCTGAAGCAGTCAACATGCTGCATGAAAACTTTACTTTTACGTACCTGGGGTTGCAGAAATTCCCAGAATCTCCATGCAGTACTTGGCATATTCATCTGCGGGGTCAGCAGATGATTTGGTATGAATGGACTGGTCAACCTTGCTCAAAACAATCTGACGAAGAGTCAAAAGACCTAGTGGTATGAGGGCATTTGGTTTATAAATGTTATAGTAATACGCTGGGTTTCTAAGGTATCAGCCATCGAAGGATCTCATTGTGCATTATATACATTAATGAGTTAAGCACTGTAAAATCCAGTGAGGACAATAAGTATCATTTTCATTTTAAAGATACAGAATCAAGCACGGAGACTTACCCATGTACACACAGGAAGTCTGTGCCAAAGGAAACTGCCAAGTGACAATAGCTAGGAAGAGGACTTGAGGTGATTGTTGATATTTGACAATAAGCAATTTTAAGTCATTTGGAACTTTCAAGGTAGACACATAGGTGGGCCTCTGTAAACACATGCTCTCATTACTGTTACCTTTGTCCTCTATCCCACTTCCCTTCTTATTGTTTTTTTTATACACACTTGTTGGAGAGCAGGTATAATATCTTTCTATGTGTCTGTTCAAAGCAAGCATAATCCTGGTAGTGGTTTTGGGGGGTGGGGTGTCATCACAGCACATATAATAATAGTCAGGAAGAGATTGTAGCAATCAGGAAAGTATCCAGACTCCCAGTCTGGTGCATTAATTGTTCTTTCTCTTAGTTGAAATGAATAATTAAAAAAAGATTGGAAAGGCTGTTGAAAGGAGTTGCTGTTACAAGCTCCATCTTTTTAAATTGTATTTTTCTCACAGTTTGAACACAATTAAGATATCAGACATTTTTACAGTAAATCTCAGCATTTAAGCATTTCCAAGGTATAATCTAATGGGCCTTTCTTCTATAGAGATGCGCTTACCTCTCAGTAGCAGTCATGGGGGAGGTGGATACACAGTGAAGGAAGAAGAGACCACTATCTAAGGCATATGTCTGTTCTGTATTTCGCAGGATATTGCCCTATGTCTTTCCTACCATTTCATGAATGCTTTTTGTATGTAAAAGAAAAAAAGATACCTGTATTGGCCATTCTAGAGGCAGCAAGTTTCTCAAGAAGAGCATCTGCAACATGGCTCCCATCTTTATAATGTTTTGACATTTGCTGTAGAGGTTCTTTTTCCCATACCCAGTTCTCAAACATTTGTGAAGGAACTTCTACAAAGTCTGTTTCCACATTAGTTCCACTAAATCTAGCAAAGTCGGTCTAACAAAAACAAAAAACAAGCAAACAAACAAAAACACAACAAAAATCCCTCCATTATATTAAATTAAAATACAAATGAGATTAAATCAGATATCTAGTAAAATGTCAACCTATATAAGGTGCCAAAACTGTGATGATGTAAAAACAGGGCAGAATTATAAACAGCTATATTACAAGAAAGATCAATGTTAAAATAGCCTCAAACTTTAAAAGAGAGGGAACAAGAAAAATTAAATTATAAGTAATGAGAAAACTAACCAAAACAATATATCATGCAGTGATTCTTAGTCACAGGAACTCAGAAACAGGTCTATTTTTCTTACTCTCTCTTACATGACATATTATAGCAATATAATTACATTTCAGCATTGCCCCATGACATCAGACAAGAACTGGGGCTGTCAAACAATTTTAAAAAATTGCAATTTATTGCGAGATTAAAAAAATAGTCGGAATTAATCGCATTTTTATTGCACTGTTAAACCATCAAAGAATACCAATGTAAATGTATTATAAATATTTTGGATGTTTTTCTACATTTTCAAATATATTGATTTCAATAATAACACAGAATACAAAGTGTACAATGCTCACTTTATATTATTTTTCATTACAAATATTTGCACTGTAAAAAAGAAACAAAAGAAACAGCATATTTCAATTCACCTCATACAAGTACTGTAGTGCAATCTCTTTATCATGAAAGTGCATCCTACAAACTTAGAATTTTTTTTTTAACATAACTGCACTCAAAACCAAAACAGTGTAGACTTTAGAGCCTACAAGTCGAAGCATGAAGGGGCATACGAATGTTTAGCATATCTGGCACGTAAATACCTTGCAATGCTGGCTACAACAGTGCCATGCAAACACCTGTTCTCACTTTCAGGTGACATTGTAAATAAGAAGCAGGGGACATTATCTCCTATAAATGTAAACAAACTTGTTTGTCTTAGTGACTGCCTGAACAAGAAGTAGGACTGACTGGACAGTGCAAATATTTGTAATAAAAAAAATATTAAGTGAACACTGTACACTTTATATTCTGTGTTGTAATTATAATCAATATATTTGAAAATGTAGTAAAACATCCAAAAATAGTTATAATAAATTTAAATTGGTATTTTATTAACAAGTGTGATTAAAACTGCGATTAATTACGACTATTTTTAATCTAATTTGTTTTGTGTTAATTGCATGCATTAACTGCAATTAATTGACAACCCTAAAAATAACTCTAATTTACTCAATAT